GTTTTGGGCATCTCTCCACCACCCAGGCACAAAATTTAGGGTTGGGTGCTCCCCGAGGCGGTTCCCCTTGCTGTGGAGAGATGGATGAGGAACTGAGAGCAGCTTTATCCATCCCTGGGTGGAGAAGTTCCTTAGCAGGGGGTTGCTGTGCGACCGCTGGGTCCGGCCACCTCGGGGAGTGCCCCCGGCATCGCACACGAGTGTCTTGCTTGTGGCTCTGGGGGGTCATGCCATGGCCAGCACTATTCCCAGCCCTGTGAAGCCCATCCCATCACCTGGGGTCTGCAGAACCAATGCGTGGAGATGGCCGGGGCCCCCATCCCCTCTGCTGCTGCTGCCGTTTGCCTCCAGGCCGCAAACCAACCAGCAAAAGTCGTATTTTAGGGAATGGGAATGGTTTCCTCCCACTCCTGAAGTTCCATGTAGATCCTGCCATAAAAAAGTACATTCCAGTTTCGTCTTGATTTGGATCTGGAGCGCTGCAGCTCCTTCCCTTTCCTCCAACATCTCGGACGATGCTGGAAGCGATGGCCCCCGTTGGTCCCATAACCCCGAGAGCTGGGAAGCGTCGTCCTGGGGCGTTTGCGACCGCGCAGACGGAGCGAACGGGGACGGGGGCGATGCTGCAGCACTGGGGGTGAGCAATGCGCTTTCTGCGGCCTCTGCTGGCATGAAAAGCTTGGGGAAGTTCATTTTCCACTCCCTTTCCCCTGCCCCTTTCTCTTCAGCCTTTCCCGGAGCCGTCAGATCGGGAACGGGCGGCACCGAGCGCGTAGAGGGTTCATGCAGAATTTGGTGCCCGGGTGCTGTGTTGAGGGTTGATGCAGAATTTGGCCCCCGGGTGCTGTTGCGGCCCCGTCTCCCGTTTGCGTGTGGAAACGCGTCCTTGTGCGGAGAGGGCTTGGCCGCGGGGCCGCCCCTCGCCGCGACGCAGAAGGTCAAGGGGAGCCGATTATCGGCGCTGAGCCTTTTCATGAGCCGACGGGGAGTTTCACCCAGCGTGCCGTGAATCACACCTGTGAACTCCCGCTCAATGAGGTCTTGAGTTGTTTGTTCAACTTCGGTGAAGGCCTTACCGTTAAAAAGGGGGTTTTTAAAGTATTTTTTGTTGTTTTATTTAATTAATTTTTAATTTTACTATTCCAAGCTGATCTCTAACCTATTAAACCTGCCTCCTTAAGAAGACAGCGCAGTGGGAAGTTGCCTCGGCATTGCCGAGGAAGGAAGGTGCTCGTTTGTGTGGCTGCTGTCAGACACCCGTGATCTTGGTGTGAATACATTTCTTAAACTCTCACTTTTTCCGGTGCTCCTCTTGATGTGTTTTGTTCTTTTTTTTTTTTTAAATTAAAATAAACCCTTTGCCCTCAGGGAAAGCCGAACTCTTACCCAGGGCCTTCTTTTAATTAGTTTTGAAATCACACTCTGCTCGCCTATAGCTTTAAGAATCACAGGCGCGTTAGAGGTGTCGGGGAGAAGGCGAACACCCCCCGAGCCGAATCCGCGGGACCAGATGGCGTGGGCAGCTGTACCTGGATCC